GTTTTACAACTTCCTCTCGAGTCTGCTGGAGAACGCGCCGGGCGTCGAGTTTCTGCCCACTGCGGGTTCGCAGGCGGTCGCGCGCGACCGCGAGCGGCAGTTTGCTGCAGACGAGGCGCTGGCCTCCGTCGAGTCGGCGGCCACGGCCACGGCCGCGGCCATCCCGGAGGCGTCGAAGCTTCGCGCGCAGTCGGTCTCCCGGCTCAGCAGCGTGAACCTGAGCAACGCCGCGGAGGTGAACTTGATTGGCGATGAGGACGCCGTGACTGGCGCGCCGCGGCCGCTCGCGTCTGCGCAGCCGTACTTCCAGCTGCTGCCGGACCTGTACTTCGCGGCGTTCACGATCGCGCAGCTCGCGGCGTTCTGGAAGCAGCTCGGCGTTGAGCTGCAGCACGAGGCGCGCTTTCCGCAGCGCGCCGCGCTGCTCTGCAAGTTCTCCGCGCGCGACGGCAGCGCCGCGAAGCGGCTGCCGAGCTGTCTGCGCAAGCAGAAGATGCACTGGGGCGAGCTCGCCCTGCGCTGCGCGGCGCTCAGCGAGGACTGGAAGCAGCACCGCGACGCGCTGCAGAGTTACTCACTTGCGTTGAACTACATTTCGGCATGCAACAGTGGGCAATTATAGGGCATCTTCGTCTTCGTCCTCGAAGGGCGCGTTCGCGGCCTCCATAAGGTCCTGCTCGCAGCGCTGCATCAGCTCCGGGTTCATGTACAGTTCGGGCTTCTTCGCGTACTCGCCAACGAACATCAGGTTCTTGCGCCCGGTGAGTCGCCGCGCGAGCCACAGAAACGGCTTCTCAAAATTGTAGTTCGACTTCGCGGAAATGTCGTAGTACTGCATGCCTTTGCGGCGGTGAAAGGTGATCATCTTCGCCTTGACCACGCGGTCCTGCACGTCGACCTTGTTGCCCAGCAGCACGATCGGGATGTTCTTGCAGATGCGCACCAGGTCGCGGTGCCACGACGGCAAGTTCTTGTACGTCGCGCGGCTCGTCACGTCGAACATCATGATTGCGCCCACTGCGTTGATGTAGTAGCCGTCGCGCAGGCCCGCCAGCTTCTCTTGTCCGGCGGTGTCCCACACGTCGAAGACGATCGGGCCCTCGTCGGTCATGAACATCATGCGGTAGACTTCCGCGCCCAGAGTGGGCACGTACTTCTTCTCGAACTCGCCGGTCAGGTGACGCTTCACGAGAGTCGTTTTCCCGACGGCGCCGTCACCCACCAGCACAATTTTGAAGCCGGGCACGTCTTTCGTTGGGTCGTTCGGCGGAAAAGCGGTGGCCATTACTCTTACTGCGGAAAATAAATTATTAGCGAATTAATTGGAAATCCGCAGCTCAAACAGCTGCGCCGCTTTGCTGAGCACTACTAGCGCGCCGGGCCGCAGCGCGCACGCGTCGAGCCCCGGCATCGCAGCCGTTGCGGCGAGCCGCTCGACGCGCGCGCGCGGCAGCGACTGCGCCGCGTTCCGCAGGTGCAGCAGCGCGACGCCGTGCTCGTCGCACACCGCAACGCGCGCGCGCCGCGCGTCGCCGTCCAGCAACCGCACGCTAAACGCGTTCTGCGCCAGCGCACCGCCGTCTGGCCACGGACCCAGCGGCACGCGCGCGAAGGGCTGCAGCGCGGAACGCGCGGCGGCACGCTGCAGCGCGGGCTGCTCCGCGCGTGCGGCGCGCGCCGCGCCCGCCGCATAGAGCGTCGCAGCGCCGTCGCTCGCGACGCTCAGCAGCGTGTTGCCGACCCACAGCACGCCGAAGACCACCGTCTCCGGCCGC